CGGGGACAGTGCGGGACATCCCGGGGACAGTGCGGGACATCCCGGGGACAGCGCGGGGACAGTGCGGGGACATCGCGGGGACAGCACAGACCCGCCCCCCGCCCGCATCGCCCCCGCTCGGGCCCTTTAAGGGGGCGTGGCCGCCGGGCCATCGGCCCATGGGCGGGGGGCGGGGCTCTGCGGGGCAGCCAATAGGAGCGCTCGGCTCCGCCCCGCCCCGCCCGCGGCTGCTGCGGGAACCGGAGAGAGCCCGGAGAGGATTCCGGGAGAGCCGAGAGAACCGGAGAGAACCAGAGAACCCGGAGAGAACCAGAGAACCCGGAGAACACGGAAGCGTAGGGGAACCGAAAAACCCCAGAGAGACCAGAGCTGCGAGGGGAGCGGGAGAGCCCAGAGCCGCCGCCATGGCCGAGTGAGAGCGGGCCGGGACCGCGGGCGGGGCGGGAGCGGGGCCCGGGAGGCAGCGCTGGGCTCCTACGGGAGGGCCCTGATGCGCTGTTTGCCGGGGGGGCTCTGCCCGCTGACTCGGCACAGCCCCGGGCCCCAGGAGCGGTGCTCGCTCCCCGSTGGGTCCGGGGGTGAGGGAAGCGGCGGCGGGGGCAGGGTTCGGGATCGGTCGGTGCTGGAGTCGTGCTGTGCRGCGGGGATGTTGTTGCGAGCCGAGGATCACAGGAGGGTGGGTTCCCTTACGTGSGCTCCTTGTGAGCTGCATCGGCCTCCAGCAGGATGCCCCGTTCCCCTCGTTTTCTGCCCACCACAAAACCTTCAGCATTGCGGAAGCAAAAAGCTGCCGTAAGTTTCAGGCACGATGTTTTAGTTCAGCGTCTGTTCAGTATGGAGCTGTGATGGAGCTGGAGCCGTCAGTGGCGTATTGAGCAACTCATTTWATTCCCTGCCTGTAGTACAATGTTTTGGATTGCTTTTCCTGCACTTCCAGCTGTTCTTGRTGGCTGGGAAGAAATCACGGTGATGTGAGACACGTTGTGTGTTGTTGTGCACTCTGTGAGCCACAGGATGTGCACCTTTCTCCCGAGGGGCAGCTCTGATCTCTGCTCTGTGTGACCAGGGACAGACCCGAGCAAAGCCCGGGCTCCCCAGGGAACGGTCCCAGCCCCAGGGCTGGCTGAGCTCCAGAGCGCTTGGACAATGCTCTCAGGCWCAGGGGGAATTGTTGGGGTGTTTATGMAGGGCCAGRRGCTGGACTGCATGATCCTGTAGGTCCCTTTCARTTTGGGATATTCTGTGATTCTGCAGGCTGTTGCAGTAATAGCTGACAAAATGAACTCCAAACTCYGTGTGTGTTAGGAAGGGATGGCTGCCCTGGCAGCCTGACAGAGATGTGGATGCTACTGCTGGATCAGTGCTAGTGACTTACATGGCATTTTGGTTGTTTCACATTCCAGAGCTGACATTGCTTTGATTGGACTGGCTGTGATGGGTCAGAACCTGATTTTGAACATGAATGACCACGGCTTTGTGGTAAGTGAGGAAAARTATTGTTTAGGGAGGCTGACAGTAGCACTTGGCATTGGAGCTGAGCATTTTGGGYGCTGTTCCCCTCCTGTTCCGATGGTGTTATTTCCTCCTTCTGGTTGTGCCCTGTGCTGGCCTTTGTCCTGTTTCCAGAGAGGAGCAGCAGTGCATGCTGTGCTCAGCTGGCCCCTGATCTGTGCCTGACTTTTCCCTGCAGTTTGCCTTGTCTTGGCCATTAACCAGCGGCTCCCAAGGCACGTGCTCAGGTTCATCTCTGCCCTGTAACTGTCAGCAAGGTGGAAGTGGGAGGGCACAGGATTTGCACCTTGCTTGTATAATCTGTAGTCTGAGCTAAAGTAACTGTTCCATTTATGAACATGYTTTCTTCCTCCCCCAGGTTTGTGCTTTTAACAGGACAGTCTCCAAAGTGGATGATTTCCTGGCTAATGAGGCCAAGGGAACCAAAGTGATGGGTGCTCACAGCCTGGAGGAGATGGTSTCCAAGCTGAAGAAGCCCCGGCGCATTATCTTGCTGGTGAAGGCTGGGACTGCCGTGGATGACTTCATCAATAAACTGGTGAGGCAAACGTTTGTTTTACCTGGGCCTTCTTGCTGTCCTTTGGAGGAGTTTCCTCTGGAAGGTCTCAATTATTCAACATTAGTGAAGTTTGGAATGCATGGAGAAAACTGAAATGCTGATTTATTTTTGACAGGTACCATTGTTGGAGGCTGGAGACATCATAATTGATGGTGGGAATTCGGAGTATAGAGATACCACGGTAAGCCTTTTTCCTCCCTAAAGTGAATGAATAAAATACACACTTCTGCTTCTGATCATCATACAGCCAATTAAAAAGCAATTGAGGACTGCCCTATAAGAATGTTTTTATAGAAGTTTCCTAGATCATCACAGAAGAGTTTTTGTCATGCTTTAAAGAGTGAAGGCCTTTAGAAAATTTCTTTTTACAAGGGAGTTTTCAGGGAGATCTATAAATATCCTTAGAGTTACAAATTTGTTGTTATTTCCCAACCCGTTATGATCACTGGACAATGCAGTAAGACAGAACTGCTGTTTGGCTGTCTTGGTAATGGAAACAGCAGAATAATTGTCTGTTTGTGAGCAGGCTGTAACTGTTGAGGTTACAGAAGCTACGTTAGCCTGAGATGCTCACATGAAAATACTGCATTCAGACTGGTACTGCTAAATCTTAGAAGAGGTGCTCATATTTGTCTTTCTGATTCAACATCCTGATCTTGGAGAAGTGTTGGCCATCCCAGAGTGAACAACTCAGTGAGGGTCAGTCTTTGGAGAGCTTGCAGCTGCCCTTAGGGATCTTGGCCTGTGCTTCTCTCCCACCCAGAGGCAATTATTGCCCTTAGAGTTCTCCATGCTTGCACCTTCACTCTGCAGTGAACTCAGCAACTCCACCTTGGGCTAATCTGCCTCCCCCASATCTTTGCACAGAGCATGTGTCACCTGACACTTAATTCCGAGCCTTTTCTGGCCTCAGTACTGCTCTTTTCTATCTTATAAGGATAGAAAGCACCTTATAAGGTGCTTATAAGGACTTCTTTTTTTCACCATGTCACTTTTGCAAGGATCCACAGCAAAGCAACAGGAAGTTTCTTAATAATCACTTTGGTGTRTGTACAAACTTTCTCTAGGGTTGGTTTCTAGCATGTCCAAAGCAGAATTGAAAATCTAGGTCTGAATTGCTAACTTTTGTTTGTAAGGTTCTGGTATTAAACAAAATCAAACAGTGCTGCTCTGCTCTTTGTTCCAGAGACGTTGTAAAGAACTACAGGCAAAAGGCATCTTGTTTGTGGGAAGTGGTGTCAGTGGTGGGGAGGAGGGTGCCAGATATGGACCTTCACTCATGCCAGGAGGAGCCAAGGAGGCCTGGTAAGCATGAGACACTGTATTTGAGTGTTCAGAATGGTTTGCAACAATTCCCACTGTAAACTGAGGGAGGGAAGGAGCAGGGTGTGGGTGTGSAGAGAACAAGATATGTTGCCATCTCACTTCCTCAAGGCTGCAGATTTCTCAACCTGGCTGGGGTCATGGGGCAGTGCTGAGCCTTCATGTAAGGCAGAACAAAGGCAGGCTTTTCTTCCAGGAATCCACAGGCAAAAGTAGAACCTACAGACATCTGAAAGGATAATGTGTGCCTGGTGAAAAAGGAATTTTGCTTAAATTTTAAACAAATACTATTTCTTATTTTTTCTTTTGAGGCCATACACACTTGGGAAGCTGCTAACCATGAATCARCAGCAGCAAATGGCCCTGTAGTGACACCTGATAAAAGGAGCTGTAGTACATGTTTGTACTGACTGTTGAATGCATCAATTTATTTGCAAGTTTCTGCATGCTGTTACACTGTTTTGAACTCATGTCTCAGTAAAGGACTGCACATCATTGCTCATATTAGACTTTAYCCCTGGTTGCCCATTCTCTGCATAAATGCAGAAAGAAAAGGTGTGTCCAGGCTTTACCTGAGCTTAGTATCTCTTGATTCCCTGTCCATCTGCATTAGTGTTTCATACCTGTACCAGCCTGTTCAAATTTGATGGCACCAAGCCATCAACAACAGTAACTTGCTGCCTGATCATCTTTCCTTGAACAGCTAAGTAAGGACAGCTTCTTTGTTCAATGGAGAGGAAATTTGGGCTCCTTTGAGTGTATTAAGCTTGTCCTGCAGAGCGTTGAAAGCATGGCTTGATTGTCCCAGTGTCTTGCAAACAGTGTCTAGTTGGGTAAAACATATTTAATTGACATTTCTGTGTGGGTGGGTTATCAGGCTGCCAGCTGCCCTCACCCCAGGCTGCTTTTGACAGGTTACAGCAGGAGGCATCATGCCCATAGATTTTATTTATTTTCTCTTGTGGTGTTCGTATCCCYTGCCTGTCTGCTGAGGTGTATTCTTTCTCCCCACAGGCCCCACATCAAGACCATATTTCAAAGCATTGCTGCTAAAGTGGGATCTGGGGAACCTTGTTGTGACTGGGTAAATATTCATTTGATACTGRCCCTAATTTGGGGTTAGATCCCTGCTTAGGCAGTTTGGTTGCTGAAGCTTRTGGATGTTTGTCCATAATAAACCCAGCACAATCAGTGGTTGATTTTCTGGCTGACTGTGTTCCTTTCCAGCCTGCCATCTCTGATAACTCACCATGCACTGCAAAGACAGTTTTATGTCTGGACCATGTGCTGGGGGAGCTGAATGGTCCTGTGACCCCCCRGGTTCAGTTTGCAATGTCTTTGCTTTATGCCTTTAGGCAGAAGGGAGCCATGGACAGGTATGAAACACTGAAATGGTGGTGATGCTGTTGCTGATGGGATTTTTGGATGTTTCCTGGCAGGTGGGAGAGGAAGGTGCTGGACATTTTGTGAAGATGGTGCACAATGGGATTGAGTATGGAGACATGCAGCTGATCTGTGAGGCCTATCACCTGATGAAAGACGTGGTGGGCATGGAGCACGATGAGATGGCAAAGGTGATTTGCAGTTTTTAATGTCTTTCCTTTGTTTGTGCCATGGTGTCTGTCTGCCACTGGTGAGGTGCCAGGCTTGGGTGAAGCTGCTGATGGACATGAAGTGAATTTTCTGACATGCCTCCTGCAAGGGCAGGACACAATATTCCTGAACTTCATGTGAGGTAGGGAGCAGCAAGCATGGACAGCTGAATGCTTATAGAAGTTGTCTAAAACTCTTCCCATATTATARTTGAGTTCTCCCTAGGAAGCACCTTCATGGGTAGAGATGTGTATTACCTTGCCTGACAAGAGCTAGTGAAATATTGGGCATTATAATCAAGCAGGCAAAATATATACATAAATCAATTGAAAGATATAATAAAGACATAGCAAATTTGGATCTGTATGTATATACTTTTTCTCCTTTTTCAGGTATTTCAGGAGTGGAATAAGACAGAGTTGGACTCTTTCCTGATTGAAATCACAGCCAACATTCTCAAATTCAAAGACAGCGATGGCAAATACCTCCTGCCAAAGATCAGGGACAGTGCAGGACAAAAAGGCACAGGGAAGTGGACAGCCATTTCCGCCCTGGAATACGGTGTCCCGGTCACACTCATAGGTCAGTGGWTCTTTGATCTTCCCCACCTCCCTGTACCACAGTAAGGCATAGGAATGGGTAATCTCAGAAGTGAGCCCACAGTAGGGCTTGGCTTGCACAAGAGGCCTCTGTAGGTGTAGCTGTTCCAGCCTTTCTGCCCTGACAGCTGGCAGGGTTTTACTGTTTTTTGTTTGCTGGACTTGTTTTCACCTTGTTCCTTAAATGCTGGCAGTCCTGTTGTCACMSCTGTGTCAGTGGTGTCTCTGYAGGGCTCTGAGGACTCGGTGACAGGGGAGCATCAAGTGCTGTGCTCAAAGTGTTGTAATGCAGAGGAGCTATAAAACATCTGCAACGCATTCAGAGTGCCCTCATACCACAGCTCCACTCTGGGCTTCCTGCTGAGTAAATTAGATGAGTCAACAGCTTCTTTGCTCTCAGATTTGCTTTCATTTCCATGCTTTCTCTACCTCTTTTTCCTTTGCATTGACTGGTCGAGTTCTGAAGAAAAATTATATGCAGTAGCTGAAAGAAAGTAACTACAGTGTAGCTGTCAATGAAACATGGTTGCATTCCAACAGCAAAACAAGTTCTGAAAATGGTTTTAATATTCTAGGGCAGTTGTAGCTGTTCAATTCTAGGCTTGAAACATTGCTTCTTGCTTGTACTGTTAATATCCTCCTGTTGGGGCTCTTGCAAAGATCAAGGGTGGGGAGGACACGCCCTGATTAGTGCTCCCCGGTGCCAGGGAGCGTGGTTGGGTAATGATGAGCTGATAGGGAAGTGTGTGCCACAGTCCTTGTGCAAACGTGGCTCTTCTCAGGGCATTGCTCTGGGTGGTTTTACTGCATGAGCATGACTTGCAAACCTCTGCTTGTAAAAGCAGCGTCATGCTACTCCTGCATTTTCCTGATTTCCCTACCAGGYTGCTCCTCCCTGCTGTAGAAGGAAGTTTTTGCAGAAATGGAAATCAGCCTGTTCTGATTTAGGTGTGATGTGTCCTCCTGCTGTAGGGAGGATCCAGCGTCTTGTGAAAACATTACTCATTCCTTTTTCTTTATTGTTGTTGGTTTGATTTTGGGGTGCGGTTTTTCTTTTTTCTTTTGGTGGAAAGAACTCACTWAAAGGGTGGAACAAAATTACATTTCTTGCTTGTTTTCCTTCTGTCAGACCCTGAAAAGGAACTTTTTTGTCCCTCCTTTTACAGTATTGTGTTCAATTGCAAATAAGTGCAGCTTAAAACGGCATGATTAGGAACTGACTGAGCCAGCCTGACAAATGATATTTAGTAACCTGTGATGTTAAGTGATGTTAAGAACTTTCTTATGAACTTCTGAATACTAGTGCTAGAGGCCTCCAGAGCTGTGAATMTTATTTCATCTTATAAGTTAACCTGCTTATTTATTCTTGGTTTTAATTGTCCTTATTTTGAATGTGTATATTGTTGTCTATCTCTGATAGACAGGAAAAGATTTTAAAGTAAATTCTCAAAACTAAGAGCTGGTAAATGTTCCTGAGGATAAATTTTCATGTGGATGACTTGTGGCTTTTTTCTTTATAATTTGAAAGCTGTATCAGTCACTCCTTACCCAATGGTTGTACTGAGTGGCAGTGTTGTCCTGCAGGAATGCTGCTGGAATAATTCATTTGTGCACCTGTTATTTCATTTGTGTACATGGCTCATCATTCAGTGACACTCTGTGGTGCTCGAGTATCTCAGACATGAACAGTGATGCCCAACTTTCTAATGATCTCCTTTTTGCTGCCATTCCCAAAGGTGAAGCTGTGTTTGCACGCTGCCTGTCCTCCCTCAAGGATGAGAGAGTGCAGGCCAGCAAGCTGCTGGCTGGGCCCAAAATGACACAATTCAGTGGGAACAAGAAGGCCTTCCTGGAGGACATCCGCAAGGTGAGTCCTTGTGCTGGGTCAGAGCACGTGTGGGGTGCTGTGAACCCTGGGAGGATCTCTTGTGTTTGTRTTTCATGAGAACTGGTTCCTGCTTTCAGCACTGTGCATTGTCTAGTGATGTCCACAAAGCATAATGACACATTTCTAACCAAAGAATAGTCCAGGAGGAATTCAACTCTAAGCCACAGTGGGCAGGGACGACTAAATGGGGCACAGGGATCATAATTSATGCACAGAAGCTTGCTCACCCCTCAACACTCCTGCCTTTGCCTGGGTATTGATCTTTTGATCTCTATTGAAACCCAACTTTCCAATGAGAACAGATATTTTGGTTCACAAGTAACTGTGATGTTGTTACTGTACTCTGTTGAGATGTGGACTCTGAAGTGAGCATGTGGACTCTGAAGTTTGTTGTTCAACTTCGTGGGACTTATCTGAGAACGTGAATTTGGTTTTTTTTCAGGCCCTGTATGCTTCCAAGATCATCTCATATGCTCAAGGCTTCATGCTGCTGAGACAAGCAGCCAAAGAGTTTGGCTGGACGCTGAATTATGGTGGCATTGCACTGATGTGGAGGGGAGGCTGCATCATCCGAAGGTAACTGAGAAGAGGAGGTARCCTGGCTGCTGAGGGGAGAAGCAGCAGGCAGTTTAGTTTATGTGGTGCTTGGCTGAGAAGCCTMGAGATTTCCTTGGAAAATCCTTGGAGTTCTCTGCTGGTAAGATCCTGAGAGGCTGTAGACAACACTGAAGGTTACTGGATGACCCCACTATTCTGGTGGCTTAACTGCTGTAGGTTTTGGTCCTTGTAGTGTTTGGAATCTGAGTCTGGCTGAGTCAAATTTTGGCTTTTTAAGTTTTGGATTCTGAGCCTTTGTTGGAAAGCTGTGACATTGATTCTTGGTTTACTTTTGCCTAGTGTGTTCCTGGGAAAAATCAAAGATGCTTTTGATCGAAACCCTGAGCTCCAGAATTTGCTGTTGGATGATTTCTTTAAGAGAGCTGTTGAAAACTGTCAGGTRAGTTCCAAGGAAAGGAGAGCCTAAAAACAATCATTTATAGCCAGCATGTTCATGTGAAAGAACAGCTCGAGGCTATGGTTTGAGTGCATGCCTCAACTGTTCTCATCCTGTTGTTAACTCTGTCTTGCCATTATTTTGGATCAACCTTGTTTATRTAAAATCAGGAATCTAGTGGAGCATTTTCTCAGCCTTGGTCATTAGATTGCACATAACATGAAATAGCACACAGTTGTACCAGAGTAGTTGATGTGCCTGCACACTCCTCTGCGTGAGCACTGATCAGTTCCTTTGCCCTGCCCTCTGTCCCAGGACTCCTGGCGCCGTGTCATCAGCACTGGGGTGCAGATTGGAATCCCTATGCCCTGCTTCACTACTGCACTTGCTTTTTATGATGGGTACAGGCACGAGACATTGCCAGCTAACCTGATTCAGGTGGGTACYGAAACATCATCGTGCTGTTATTTAAATACTGCTCTAAAGGCCTCAATGGCAGTGTGTCCTCATCACTCACAATACAGATTGCCTAATATATTTCTGTTGTTTCTGAAATTCATGTCAATAAAATACTTAGAGATATCTGGATAATCAACACCAGAGTTACTGGTATAGTTGTGCCCAGTGTGTGTTCRTATTCCATCTGTGAATCAAGGGTATGTTTCACTGTTTGGATGTGAAGTGCTTTTTGTATGGAAGTTTGCACTTTTGTATGGAAGTGCTTGCTTTTTAGATTAGTACCAAGCAGAAAACATACACTTGCATTTCTGCAGAACTTAATCTAATTATTTTGATATTAGTAAATTTTGTGTTGCAGTGGTTTTCTAACAATGAGAAAATAATTTTGAATGTTATATTATTGGAGCCAAATCTTATTTCTACTATTCCTATTGTCAGGTAACGGTTAGGTGCAACTTCTACTATTCACATGACAGTGATACTTCATGTCTGCTTTTCTGTGTTCTCATTCCAGGCTCAGCGTGATTACTTTGGTGCACACACGTATGAATTGTTATCGAAGCCAGGGGCATTTATCCACACTAACTGGACAGGCCATGGAGGAAATGTGTCCTCTTCTGCTTACAATGTCTAATGGAAATCCCTCCACTTGGAGCCAAGATACTGTAGGTCTCAGATATTTCTCCTAGAATATCACTTTTTACTGTACTATGCTAGAACTTGTGTTTGGACACTTTTGTAATAACTTGTGGGTATATTTCATACATATATCTGTATCTCTCTGTATGTATCATGTAAGAAAGCTAAATAAATTTAGTTTTAAATCTGTTGAGGTGTTTTCTTTCCGCCGCTGCTGGCCAAGACTGGGTAAAATGTTTATGTGCAGTATTTAATAGAATTTATAATTATGATGAGTTTATTGTATTTTGGTGTATAAAGTCATAGGGATCAAGACAGAGATGACTGCAGTTCAGTAACTGCTGAGGTGGAGAGTGGCAGACATGGCACAGAAACTCTACACAAGTTCCAGGCACATAAAGGCCTTTCTCTCGTTGCCATGGTTTATTCCTCACAGGCTCTTACAGATTTAATTCCTGGGCTTTCAGCAGCTCGGTCTGTCATACAGAGCTCTGTGTGGAAGGGTGGGACAGGTCATGGACAAACAAAACTGGTATTCCTGTCACATTCTCCCTCAGGCTGTTGTTCCCAGTTCTGTGCTCTAGCATAAACACTTGGCATTGCTGTGTGCTTGCATTTCCCCCTCAGATCTCCCAAATCTTTGCCTCTTTGTCCCGTGGCGCAATTAAAAATACCCACAGCAGCATGCAAACTCGACTCTATTTTACACCCTCCCACTGCAATGCCACTGCCAGTCATTTTCAGGACTTCTGAAAATTCATCTGGGTGTGTGGATCTCTTTTTTTCCCTCAGAATCTGTTAAATTTTGTGCTGTGCCCACTGATTTTTGTATCAATTTTTGGCCATATATATTTCTGCTAAGACAGCTACTCAGCCATTAGTTGACTGTCTGTATAAGGTAAACTATAACTTTCAGTTTAAAGTACCTTTGCTGCCGGTCACGGAGCAGAATTCGGGAGTTCCGTACAGTAAATGTGSATGAGGGCGGAGCGGCCGCCATGGCGTCAGCGCGCGCTGGGCGGGAACCGCCAGGGCGGGAAATCGTGAGGGAGGCGATGGCGGCGGCGGGCGGGGAGGAGCGGCAGCTGCTGACACAGGTACGGAGGGGAGCGGCTGACACAGGTACGGAGGGGAGCCCTCACACGGTACCGAGGGCAGCTCCTCACACGGGTACCGAGGGGATCCCCTCACACGGGTACCGAGGGGAGCCCCTCACACGGGTACCGAGGGGATCCCTCACACGGGTACCGAGGGGAGCCCTCACACGGGTACCGAGAGCAGCCCCTCACACCGGTACCGAGGAGAGTTGCTCACACGGGTACCGAGAGCAGCTCCTCACACGGGTACCGAGGGCACTGCTCACACAGGTACCGAGGGGAGCCCTCACACGGGTACCGAGGGGAGTTCCTCACACAGGTACCAAGAGCAGCTCTTCACACGGGTACCAAGCTGCGCACGGGGTCCTGAGCGGGGCTTTGGGACCCAGCCGCTGTGTCACCGCTGCTCCTGCCTTGGTCCCTGCAGAGGCTGAAGGCGGCGGTTCACTACACGGTCGGGTGCCTGTGCCAGGAGGTGGCGGAGGACAAGGACGTGGAGTTCAGCAAGCAGAGCATCGCGGCCATCTCGGAGATCACCTTCCGGCAGTGCGGTACAGCGGCGTTTCCTGCGGTCGCTTGAAGGGTTACCTGGGGTTACCTGAAGGGTTCCCGCAGCGTTCCGTGTCTGTTCAGGAGCCATTGATGCAGATACAATGCACCGAACTGGTGTCACTGGGGCATTCTCTTGCATTATAATTTCTTTAAGTACAAGAAATACTGGTCCGACTATTCAGACCTGAAAAAAGCCTCTAGAGGGAATATTGTGTTGCACCCTACTTGTGTACGAGTGGTAGCTGGTAGCCAGCTATGGTCACTTCTCATAACTGACTTGGATAACCTGTGTGTTGTGTATCTTCCSAGTCAGAGATACCGTTTTAAAATAAATGCATCTTTGTGTTTTCCCTAGAAATCTTTGCAAAAGACCTCGAAATGTTTGCAAGGTAGGCACTGATTGTTACAAAGGGTTGTTTTTTTTTTTGTGTTAGCTCTCAGATAATCTTTTCAATACATCTTGTAAYTCAAACTTTAAAGGGCTTAGTTGGCTGCTTAAATAGTGGCTGTAAAGTTATGAAATAGAAATTCCCTGTAGGTACTCCCTGATCTTGGAAATTCATTGATGTAGTACAAGTGATTGTTTAGACTAATAATGAAGTGTGGAGATTGTGAAGTACACATATACCCTTGATAAAACATTTTTTTGTGTAGGTAGAAAAGACAGGCAGGTGTGGTTTGCTGAGTCCCTACTAAACYTCTTTAGTCAGTGAATTCAGTCTCTGAATGAGATGCTTTATGACTCCTTATGGTCAGTGTTGGCAAAAATGTTAAAGGGTGTTTTTTGATTTTATGCAGGCATGCAAAACGAACCACAATCAATACAGAAGATGTGAAGCTTTTGGCTAGAAGAAGCAATTCTTTGGTGAGATTCACTGTATTTTCTGTCTTGCAACATTCTTAAACCATTTAATTCCTAAAAGCATTTGTATGAAGGCTATAGATGATGAARAATCTGTTGCATAAGCAATTTCACCTTCTTCCTGAGGTAGATAGGYACAATCCAGTGATTGATCTTATTTTGCTTCATGCCACTATTCCTCACTGTGGTGAGGTATAACCCATCTGATTGCAGTTCAAGCAGCAGTGCTCTCGTTGCACCAGGACTGCTGGAGTTCCAGCTACAAAACTGTGATAAACAGACACAGGATTATCAATGCTGCGAGTGAATCACTTTGATTTTTCCTGATGTTGTGTTCCTTTGCTGTAGCATAAGGTCAGAAATAGCTTGAGTSTACCTCGAGGTGCTGAGTCTCCCAACATCAATGTAGGGATCATAGAATCATTGTGTTCTTTCTTGTGCTGATCTAGATGATGTTCAGTTGATTAAACTCACTAATCTGTTATAACATACGAGTATGTAGATCCATGAAAAATGTTTCCAATACTAATTTTACTTTCATGTAAGGAGATATTTTTCYTTCCATATATGATTTGAAATACACAACATGAACTTGCCTGAGAAGGCCAAGTAAATGTTTTTTTTAGTCTGTCATTTTTTTGTAACAAGAATTTGCCCTATTAATTTCTCTTCAGCATTTCTATCTAATTTCTTGTGAATAAATGAAGTTCCTCAGTAGAGACTGATTAGCATATTGTTCCCAGCTAAAATACATCACACAGAAGAGTGARGAGCTCGCATCAAGTAACATGGAGCAGAAGGAGAAGAAGAGAAAGAAGTCCAGTGCAGCTAAGGGAGAGAGAACTCCTGGGGARCAAGAGGCAGCTGTGACTGAAAATGAAGATTCCAACATGGCATGATCTATCTTTTGACCAACGTTTCAGGTTATTTTCCCTTAGTATCTTAGAAAAAGYAGAATTAACCTATTCATCTTGAAGTTTGGTACCAGTAATGAATCTTTAGATTTTTAGGTGAATGCAATTGGATTTTTGTTATTCCAAAAGTCTTTCAGCATTCAGTAAAGCTTACTGCCAAAATGCCTTAATGGTCACAAAGGGTATGTTACTAAATTAAAATCCCTTAAATAGTTTGAAACTATTCTCACTGAATCATAACTCAGTATATGCAATACCCTCCAGTATGCTACTTTATTTCTCTAGTAACTGTTGGCCTTTTTCCTTGCTTTCAGCTCTGATAGTTTTGCTCAGACATTTTGAATATTTTGTTATTAATAAGCCATATCTGTTGCTCATTGTTTTGACAATTATAAACCAGTTTTGCATGGTTTCTCAGCTGTGGCACTGCTGGGGTACAATCGTCACTGTCTGTATTCCCATTTTAAGGGAGCACTGTGGCTTAGGAGCAGAGGCAGACAGGGATCCTCACTGACCTCTCCTGGGCTAGCAGAGCCCTACCCAGTGGAAAGGGATTGTACAAAGAATGAAAAGAATTACATTCAAAGGAAACTGATTTCTAGGGGTAGCACAGCCATCCATGTTACTGCAGAAAGGCTGGAACATRAAGAGTTTGAAATAAGTAGCTATTTAAAACACCAGAAAACCTTTTAACCTGCCATGGCCTGTAATGTTGCAATCCACAAGTGTATATGGTAAGAAGCAAAACAGACTGACAAAAAGTTACCTGCAAGCATCTTCCCTAAGTCCAGTCAATTCTCACATAGTTCAACAGTAGATAAAAAGATTTTATTGATATTAGAATAAAAGACTTTAACAAATCTAAAAATAAGCCCGTTAATCCAAAAGCATCGTGACACTACACTAATGAGGAGGAGAATAACACAGCAGGCCAATTACAATTTCTTCTATCACACAGCCTTACAAAGCAAGTATTTCAACCTTGGCTGTGTTTTACATGATAAGAGCTCTTACACAGCACCCAAGAGGCAGGAATTCCTTACAGAAAAAGYACTGAAGTTAAAGAATTTTGAACTTTACTTTGATTAAATCAGTGTGAGAATTCAAGTTCCTAGATCCCAGGCTGGAGCTTAAAGCCAGGCAGCAGCTGGCTAACCCCTCTGCTCTGATCACTAATTGTGCCTCAATGTGYTTTCCAGAGATCTTCCATTTTTCTTATACTGAAAACAGGGGGAGACCAAAATAAGCAAACAGCCTGGGCCTTCAGGGGCTGTATCCACCATTATCAGATGGAAGTTTCTGCCTACCAACCAGGTATTGAAAGCTGAACACTTGCATGCTGTGCTTAGCAATAGCATTGTTCTAGTATTCTGCAAAAAGTCAAAATCCCTTTGGTTACACAAYTCAAATCACCAGAGGAGTTTAAGCCTCAGAACAATGTCCAGATTTGAGTTGTTCTATAGCCAGACCACAGGATGACCAGCAAACCRTGGTTCCCAGGATGTGTCTTTGYTTGTWTTGATTCTAATGCAAAAGCTARAACTAARTTGCAAACAGCAAAGCAGTCTCACTTTTTGCGTTTTGARCTGGGCCAGTCCCCCCAGGGAAGCGTTTTCTTGCCCTTGGACGTGCTCCGTAAGGAATGCAGAGTCTGCACTTGTTTAAGGCGTTTGGAGAGCTCCTGCTCACAGGCTTCCAGCAGAGCTGCAGCTTTCTGCTTGTCCCATCCCAGAGCCGAGGCCAGGGCTGCTGCATCTTCCTTCAGCACCAGCTGGAGCAAGGCACATTGTTAACAGTGTTTTACACTGACTCCCTGGCCACTAGCCCTCTGCYCACGTTAACAACACCAGGACAAGGCACCAAAGTTTAGTAGTGGCACTTTGGAACTGGAGATGTTCCCAGCTTTGATCACCTCTCCCGTGGGCTAGTGGACTGGGAAGAGAAAGCAGTTACTTTCTACAGCAAGGAAAAACAAGAGTAGCAAGTTCACAGCTTGAAGGAACRCCTTTCTAAATGGTTACAGTTTAGCTAGACTTTCCAATCTATATTTACAGTTTTTTCCAAAATAAGGAGGYTTTTATTTTGATTTGGGATGTATAAAAGAAATGTAGCTAGATGCCTGAGTATACAAAAAAACTCCCAAATACCCTTGCTGGTAAGACAGCTGAATGATTTGTCAGAGATCAAACCCAAAATTATTTTGTGGCTTTTGAGAGGACAGGGCAGAGTATGTGGAACAGTGTCAGCTGGCTGTTATACAGGAGCTCCGAGCTGGGGTAGTGTTATTGAGGAAGAGAAGTTAATTAAATATCAGCACTTTGAGATGGATATAATGACATCAGAGCCTCCAGAAGCAAGGACAGCTTCCCCTTTAGCCTCTTTTTCCAGAGGGAGAGATTTGCCAGAASATGGTTGTGTCATTCTCACCCACCTCTAGATCCTGACTGTCCAAGCAGAGCTCTGGAGCAGGTTTTCCTTTCAGAGCAGCAAGGACGTGGTCGCTGAGTGCTGTTGTGGCTGAGGGATCTGTGCTGCTGGTACCTGTGTCAACCACATCCATCTCCTTCCTTGATTTAGCCTCAGGTTCTGAAAAAGGAGCAGAATCAGTGCAGCCCCTGACAAATACAGYACAGGAAAAGTGGCCTGGACTGCTTTGATGGTTGTGAGATTAGTAATGTATATGTACAATCTAGGTGCATCCTGGAATTTAAGAAATCCGTCACGTTTAGAAGCACTGCAGGATCTCAGCTTTGCTCAGAGTATTCTGCTTTCAGGCTTTGTGAGAACCGTGACATGGGTGACAGGACTATGTGGTCAGAGAATTCTTACACTATACACACTCCTTATTTATTCCACTCAACCAGGAGTTGAAAACCTCCTTCTCTAGCATCCCAGTGCTCCCTACCTGCAACTTTGCTTAAGATACTGTCTTCAGTCTTCAAGGCCTCCAGATAGAGTTCCAGGAGCTGCCGTGACTGCCGCTCTTCTTCTCGTCTGTCCAGCACCTGCTGCAGGGTGTCCTGCAGCACCTGGATTTTGGTTTCACTTTGGGCAAGTTCTTCTGCCAGGTCTGAGCGTGGCACATCAATAAGCACCTTAAAACATTGAGAGTGCTCCTGAGGAACTTATTTCATGGCACTCATTGCAGTATGAACAGCATGTACAGACCCTCCTGAAACCCAAGCACATCCCACAAGGTTTCTTGCTATAGCAAGTCAGCTGAATTCTGAGAGCCTTGTAGTGGCACTCCACCAGGCAGCATTTTATACTAAAAAGCAAAAGGAAGGTGCGGAATCGTATGCAATTTGTTATTAACAGAGATCTTGAAAACTAAAGGCAAAGTACTATTTCTTCACGGTGCATGGGAATATTCAAAGGAAAGGCAAGAGCCTGGCACCTGGGAAGCTTCACATTGGGGAGAACAAGGAGGGGCAGTTATTGCCACGCCTCATCACAGACAAGGCGTTAAGCAGTCAGAAACTTTAACCAGTCAGCTCTGSAAAGTGTGAGCAGTTCTTCAAATCCCTCTGCAGCAGACAGGCCTGGCCTGCTGCTCAGCCTCTCCTCTGGACATGTTACACAGTGCCTGGTTTAAGAAATGAGGTGATCTCACTTGCCATTTGGCCAAATTTCGACTTTTTGCCCTCCCACTGCCAGAGCTGGAACAACACACTGTGAGGGATCGTCGGGGATTAAAGCCTCCTCGGACACTCCAGTGTTTCCCTTCATGGAGAAATTTGACTCTGGCACCAAGAGCCAAAATCAGCAACTGAATTAAGCCTGAGATCTTATTTCCTGAGATCAATGGATGGTGGGCAGACAGGAGGACAGGGATTGGGGGTTTCCCCACTGTACCTGGAGGTCTTCTTCAGACATCAGGATGATATTGGACAGGTCATCCTTCAGCTGCCTGGCCAGTTGCTTCCACTTCTCCGCAGCACTGTCCACTTCATCCACAGACGCCAGGARCCAGGGGGTTCCACTGTCTGCCACAAGAGTCACCAGTGTCATGGGTCATTGCCTGATGTCACYAGGTGTATTCCAAACACATCTCCCCTTCCATGTTCCTCACTCACAGCATACCTATGCTTTTGCCGGACCATTTCTCATCCTTGGCCAGTGCCACAAACTTAGTGTTAGATGGCAAGCACAAGAAGTAATCTTCATCATCCACGATGGTCCCATCTTCTGCCAGTACCAAGGTGATGGGCTCGCTGGCCTTGTCAAGAGCCAGAACACCACAAGCTGCGGAACAGAAAAAACACTTAACAAAACGATGGAAGTGACACGGCATTGCCCTTTCATCACCCCCCAGCACAAAGGACAGGGCTCGGGGGCTCAGGCCGGTCCCGGCGGGGCTCGGGGCTCACCTTTGTCGCGCAGCTCCCGCAGGCAGGACGCGGCCACGCCGTGCTGCTCCGGCCCGTCCCGCCGCCGCACCACGCAGCGCTTCAGCCGCGCCGCCATCCAGGGACGCTCGCCAATGCCCCAGGAGGGTTTCCCGGGCAGGAAAGGCACTAATGCCGCGGGAGGTGGCCCGAGAGCCCCGGCCCGGCTGACACCGGGCACTCCCGGTACCGGGGACACCCCGCGGCAGCCATCCCTSGGCCGGCCCTCGGCTCGCTATGCCTGCGGCGCGGAGCGGCGGCGGGGGCGTTCCATCGAGCGGCCGGCGGTGGATTAGTCGCCCTGGGAAGATGGCGGCTGCGGAGAGAGCGGAGCAGCCGGGGCAGGTGAGGGGACAGGGCCGGGACAGGGCCGGGACAGGGCCGGGACAGGGCTGGGACACGGCCGGGACAGGGCCGGGGGTGCCGGGGGGCTCCGGGACCCGTCCCTGTGCACTGCGGCTCCGTGCTGCACTGGGATCCTGAGCAGGGACTGTGCGGGGCTGGCTGAAAGCTGTGCAGGCCGGGCCCAGGGCACAGGCGTGTTGGCATTGAGGGGTTGTGTATGAAACTCRTAAAGCACTTCAATAGAAGAAAAATACATACAGACACCTCCAGAGAGAAAGGAGACAGTGTGCGGCTGGGTTAGAAAATGCGCTGGAGCCCTGTGCAGGATGATAGTTGGACTSGATGATCCTTGTGGGTCCCTTSTGAATCAGAATATTCTATGATTCTGTGACTAGTTAGACAAAAATATTGTCTCTGCCTTGAACTGCGAGGGAGGGARGGAGATCCTTGAGTCAAGAGCATAAAGGGGCAAAGCTGAATGGGGAAAGCAAAAGAGAAACGCTGCTGGTTTGAGTGCTCAAGAAATAGCAAAAGGCTAAGATTTTTATAAACTGGGGCATGAAATGAATGGGGCAGCCTAGAGGAAGAAACAGAAGTGTGATGTAGTTGTATATAGTTTATATTCTTATTTTGCTGAAGGCCTCTTCCAGCCTGCATTCTATGATTCTATAGCGTAGGTTTGATGTAGATGTATAGAGTGTATACATCCTGTCACTCACACGGTCTTGTTCATGATCTAAAGTCACTTGTATTTCATTGYGAGCTCAACCCATGTCAGATTTAGCGACCTGGTGGAGCTCTCTCATCTCACACTAYCCCAGACAGGCGCTGAATGTGTGGTGCCAGTGGAGTTTGGTAAAGTCCTTTCAGTGCCCTCAGGGTCCCGGTGCAGCAGCAGCAGGAGGGGAAAGGTCTGACTGTTTGAGCTCTGGAAGCAAACAGAGCACTGTTATGTACAATCACTGAAACCTGTCCAGATTCGGCCAAATCACCACGAACCTCTCTGTTCATCCCTTTGCTTTGGACTGAGGAGGCCGAGTTTGAAACTGAAATAGAAATAAATGACACAAAAATCAGTACTCTTGGGTAACCAGCCCAGAGCTGGGTTGTGAAAGGCTGGGTTACAACACTCACAGGAGGCAGGGCAGCTTTGCATCACCCGGGTGTTTTCGTGGTGCAGGTGTTACAGAACATCCCTCACACTCCAGTGAACGCTTCCAGAGTGAGACCTGAAACAATCTGTGATTGTCCACAAGGCACTTGGGCAGTCTGCTGGGCTGACAGGTTCTGAGGAACAGCTCTGGTTTATTGGCAAAGTGTCTGCCTAAAAAACGTTCAGGTTTCTTTAGAGTTTGGATAGTTTGTTTCAAGGGTCTTCCCTGCTTCAGGCGTGTGAGAAGTGCTCGAGTTCAGCTGCCAGAGGCACCACAATAATCCTCAGCCTTGACACATCCCAGGAGCACTGTGCTGCTCCAGGAGCCTCTTCCTTCCCCTCGTGTGCCTGTCAGGGGTACAAAAACTGCTCCTTCCCCTGGTGTACCTGTGAGGGTACAGACGCTGCTCCTTCCCCTCGTGTGAGGGTACAGGGGCTGCTCCTTCCCCTCGTGTGAGAGTACAGGGGCTGCTCCTTCCCCTGGTGTACCTGTGAGGGTACAGGGGCTGCTCCTTGTCCCCAGGGTGGCCGTGCCTGCTGGGGGCACATGTCCCCATCCCCATCTTGCAGAAGGTGTCTCAGCCCCTGGCAGAGCACTGGAATGAGCTGATCTTTAAGGTCCCTTTATCAGGAACCATTCTGTGATTCTGTAACTCTGTTTACCATCTCGACAGGTCTCACACTCATACACGTTCCTCACCCAGAACTCTGAGAAGTGTTCTCAAATTCTGGGGGCTTGGATGGAACTTGAGAGAGTGTTATAGCTTTGCCTGCAAGAAGAGGGTGTGGTTGAAGGTTATATAGTACAGTGGGGGACTTTTCAAGGGAACAGTTTKGGAATTAAACAAACTGATGAAAATATCTTTACAAGTCTTGCAGAATGTAAACGCTGCTCCTCTTACACAACCACTGCAGTTTTGACACTGTTATCAATGCTTGTAGAAAGTTGTCCCCACTGCACTCTAAATGCGTAGAGAATTTAAAATATTTGCTTTCTGCCACTGGTGATGTTTGTTTATTTATTGCCAAACTTTCAGCATGAGGCTGTGAGTAGTGGCACTGCCTCACTTAACATGTTTGTATTTGGGTCCCATCATGTTTTCTATTACAAATCAAATTAATTTAGATGCTGAAAAGGGAGTGTCAGATGTCTTATGGCTTATTATCTGTTTTTCTTCGTTTAATTTTCTCATTCTCATGAATTAATATATTGCCTCAAGCAGTGTGGGGAGAGGGGAGTATTGCAGCTCAAATGAAATAATTTACGTTGATAGGATTATGTTCTAAAGGCAATAAATATTTCTACCAGAGGTTGTAAAATACTTTGTTTTATTTAGCAGTCTTGTTCCTTGGGCTTTTAACAATGTCTTTACCAAAAATAAGCAAAAGAAAAGATCCTGTCTCTCTGTTACTGWTTTTTTATAGTAAGAGAAAGGGAAGAACAAGATGATGGTGTAGCCTGTGAACAGAATAACCAATTTCAGATTTATCTTGGCTATCAGTGTTTCTTTAATGCTAAATACTTTGGCAGTATTTTTGGTGATTCTTCTTGGTGGGCTCTGGCAGCAGTCCAGTCTTCTGGCATTACAGTTAACCATAAATCCCAGTAGTGTGAGAAAAATTGAAATAATTTAATATTAATTGGCAGTAGTGTTGTTGAATCTACCATCGAACTGTGTGTTTTCTTTGTGTAAGCAAATAGTTAAAGCAGATTTCAAAGATGTTGAAAGATGCCTGATTTGTTGCTCCAGAGGCTTAACTCCCTGGTTGCACTCTTGATCAATGTATAGGTAAATTTGCCTCCCCACTTGCCTGTGGCTCTTTAGGGCAGAATATAGGAGCTCTTGTACTCAGAAGGCTTTGGGAATTTCCTGAGGTTATGAATTCAGTGGTTCCTTCCCTCCCTCYGTCCCTCCCAGTGGTTTTGGTGGGTGATCCCGGAGGATCTGTGCCCTCCTGTGAGGGTGGGGTGCTGGTGGTGGTGGTGGTCACTGTCTGCAAGCAAACCTTGCAGGATATTTGAGTTACTTGCACCCTCTTGTGGGCAGTACATCTTTTATCTATATTGGTTTTGTGTGTTTTGTAAATGGGAAAAAGAAACCTTGAGATAGTTTGAAGGTGGGGTATATTGCATAAAAATGAGGAATAGAATTGGAGGACAAAAGGAGCCTTGATGCTGTCACTGACACTTTTTCACTGTATTAAATGATTGGGAACCCCTTTACTCTAAATGGGCCTTAGAACTTGTCTTCATTCCCAGTCAAACTGCATTATTTCACCATTGAGGTCACAGTATGTGTTACTSTCCTACAATAAAACACCTCAGGTGAAAGCAGAATGGCTTAGGCCATCCTAAAGTCAGATAGACCCTGTTTGAAAAGAGATTGCCATCTCTCAGAAGTCTTGCTGGCTCTCACTGCTGACTCCCTAAAAYGAATTCCGCAGATTTTGTTAACTCCCTTGTTTTAAATGGGGMCTGCTGGAATCAGTATTTTTTCTGTGGTTCTGACCGTTTTGTCTCCGGTCCTCCGCAGAGCTGTTGCTGCTAGCCCAGCCCAATGTTCTTTCCTAACCCCGCTCTCAGGATCCTTCCAGGCGCGTGTTTCTGGCGCTGTCCATCGGGTGGCAATGTCACCTCACTCTTTCTCTGCTTCACAGGCCGGCTCCTGCCCTGGGACCGAGAACGCCGCAAATCGGGAGCCGCTGGTGAGTTTTTCAAGAAGCAGCTTAGAATTTCTTGCTGATAACACCTAACAGATGACTTGTTCTCTGTGCCACGTCATTTTTCACCATTTGTTTTGTTCTCCTGAGGAGCTGGGGCCTTGTGGAAAGGGTGTAAAGTGCCGCAGGTGGCCGTGCTGTGCTCTGAACTCTGATCTGTRSCTAACTYGGGTGAGCCTGGGGTTAGGCTTGGGTCACCTGGGCCATGCCTGWCCTGAGCGTGTGCTCTTGTTCAGAGCCTTTTAGGAAAGAGTCTGGAGAGAGCCCTGTGCAGCAGAGTCACACTCTAATAAACCCACTCTGCTGCTCAGAGAACTCATTCAAGCTGTTTTTATATTCAGAGGCACTCAGAGTGAGCTTAGAAATGTTTGTCAGCTGGCAGTGCATGTAATCCAATGTTTTTACTCTAGAAGCATTTTGGAAAGGGCTCTGGGATTTTTTGTGTGTGAGGGTAACTAAGAGAACCCTGTTTTGTTTGCTCTTTTATGGTGATGCAGAGTGGGAAGTGAGCCACTACTCCTAGAGCTGCAGTGTATGGGTTTTCACAACTTTTTTTTTTCTTTCTTTCCTCTTCAGCCATCTATAAGTCAGCCAAAACCTTGCCAAAATTCTTAGTGAGTGCTCTCATCCTAAATGTATAAATCTCTGAGCTTCTTCTGTGGCTTTCATTTGTTAATCATAGTGTATACAAGCTGTTTTTGGGAGAAAACTCAAGTGCTTGTGGCACTGGCCACAGCAAAGTACTTTTACTAAATAACTCTGACCTAGAGAACTCAGGACTATTAAAAAAGAGAGATGTGAGTAAAGACTGTGAATTGAGAAAAGTCAGTGAAACGCATCTCATGAAAGGGCTGACTGTGAATTGTGTAGCGGTGACTGTCTCTAATAACACTGCCATCCATTAATTGCATGGACATCTGTACATGAGATTACCTGAGGTCGTTATCAACACCATGTGCTCTGTGGAAGATTTGGTGGTTTGTTTTTGGCAGCGTTGGTTGCCCCCCATCCTCCCTTAGGAAGGTCAGGGCAGGCTGCAGGTCATCACAGCCTGTGCTGGTCAACAGCTTGTTCTTTCTCAAGGCAGATTCTAACATTACCTGAGCTGTAATTGATTTCTTAGTGCATATGTGACTGCAGAACTGCTCAGAGGAGGCACATAGCAGTTGTGTATCTTTCTGTTTGGGTGGATATTCTCATTACATAAAATTATTTATACACTTAAGGAACTCCAGCATAAACTTTAYTCTCATGGTGGTGAGTCTAGCATGGGAGCTAATTAGAGCCCTCTGAAAGGTGGAGGTTCCCTTCTTATTTTTTCATTAACTTCTAAAAAATAATAAACTCTTACAGTCTTTGTCACATTTGTTTAGGAGTCATTATTGCTTCCATCTGCTCCTCTGTAGAYGCCTTATTAAATGAGCAGCTCACGTCTGGGAGCCAGATGACCTGAGTGCCACCATCCTGCTGTGGCTTCCCTGTAGCCAGGATGGTGCATGCTGCCTTCCACACACCATGGAGATCCTGCTGCATAAACCACACTCACATGGTGCCACAGAGATCCTGCTGCATAAACCACACTCCTGGGCACATGGTGCCACAGAGATCCTGCTGCATAAACCACACTGGTGGGCACATGGTGCCAGGAAATCCTGCTCCATAAAAACCACACTCATAGGCACATGGTGCCATGGAGATCCTGCTCCATAAACCACACTCATAGGCACATGGTGCCATGGAGATCCTGCTCCATAAACCACACTGGTGGGCTCATGGTGCCACAGAGATCCTGCTCCATAAACCACACTGGTGGGCACATGGTACCACGTCATAGAAGTGTTTACAGAAACACCAGAGCCAACTGTGGCAYGGCTCCAGCAGCCACTCTGTGGGGCAGCCRTGTGCTGGGGGCATCAYCCCACACYTCACATTTGGTGGGAAACACCTGAACAATCCAGAGGAGGAAGAAAAGAGTCACCCCCTCACCTTTTTAGACTTTATTGGTGAGTGGAAGGACTCGGTGCTTCATACAACAGACTTSTTTGGAACATAGCAGCACCCAAGAATGAGAAAGCAATASAATTRAARCAACTTGMATCAGCAGAAGTTGTTAGAGACTCAAGCTGRTTTGGTACTGGATTTGTGATTCCARTGGACACTGTATCCTGCAARGTGCTAAATACAGCMYGTTCCCCTGTACCCMTGCCTRCASCCMCTGCTCTCAACAGGAATCCAGGATAACCCAGGATTCCTACTGGTCTGCACAAGGACCTGAGCATTCTGCAGGATCCTGGAACAGGCCTGATSTGACACATCATACTGTGTCCTGCATTTGGGTCCTCCAGGATACCTTGCAAAGGTTTGTGACCTTACTGAGGCCTGCAGAATGCAGCCCTACAAACCCATGTCACAATCCAAACTGCTTCTCCCAGCTGCTTTTGATGCTTTGAGCCACCAAACTGGAGATAAGGGACTCCACGTCCCTGCCACTAATCCCTTGTCCTTACAATAAAGTGTCCCGAGTGAGAAATGCTCCCWGCCAGAGGTGACTGTGTTAGACAGTGCCAGTGTGGAGGAGGCAGGCACAGCCATAATTCCTGCAGCAGAGCCGACACTCATTTCCCTGCCTGGCGGTCTTGGCCCATTAAAATTGGCCGTGGAGCTCCAGGGTGGGAAGTGTAACCTTGTGTTCACAGAGTGTCAGCATCTCGCTCTGCTGCTGTTTACAGCCACGTTTGTCATCGGCAGCGCGGGATCAGCTTCTCCTTGAGTCCAGCTTATCAGTGAGCACTGCTGCATCCCCTGCTGCTTGGAGCAGCCATCTCTGATAAGCCTCTGAACACTTGTGGAATTGGAATGGGTTTGACTTTTTACAGCCACTCRAAATCCTGGGATGTGCAAGGGATTTAACTACATAGGACAAATTGTCTTTCAGTGAGGTTAAACCATTAGAAAATCTCCTTTACATCAGGAATCTGTGTTTGCTTGGTCTAATACCTCTGCAGAATGTATTTGAATGATCCGTTAGATTGTTCCGTTTCTTGCTAACAGAGTCTCTAGCTTTTTAACCATCCTATGCTGCTTTTGAGGTGTTTGCAAGAGATGGAATATTTTTGCTGTTGGCCTTTGCTTTCTGCCCAGTCTGCTGCAGCCTGAATTACAGCTCTGAAGGTTGTGCCTGTAAGAGCCTCCAACAGGAACCTGGGCTGTAGGGAGAGCTTAAGCAAGGAGGGCTTGTCAGGGAGGCCTTTCCACATGCTCCTTGTTTGTTTGGGTTTTTTATTTTTTCTGTGTCACAAAACATACTCATACTTGCTGGTTCTTGGTTTCTGGAAGAAGTACTAGTTGTAAATATGAARGTACTGGTTGTAAATGTAAAACATTCTCTTGGTTGCTTACTAAGTTACAGAATCCCTGGATCAGGACATGAAGAATGGGTTATTTTCTTTTGCAGATTATTTAATTTTTCTTCTTTTATTTTTAGCATGTGCTGTTTSTTTCTGTTTCTTGCTGCAGATGAGAGCAGTTAGCACAGAAATATGGACATTTTATTCCTTTTTTATAGGCTGTTGAAAGGTACAAGTTAACAAGAATTACTGCTGCCTCTATAGCAATTAGTGTAGAGTTTGTTGGAATGTGCTGGAGCCCTCGTGACTTTTCCCCACCCTTTGTTAAATTGATTTTCAAATATTTAAGGGTCAGGATAATGGCCCTTTTTGTGCAAACCTCACAGGGTACACTGCAATGAGTGATGGACAGTGGAATTATTAAATCCTTTCTGGTTTTTGTCTCATTTTGCACCTTATCTGTTCTGTTAAGTTTCCTCTCAAGTAGAATGTGAGTGCAGRAAATTTCATTTAGGTTTCTGAGGAAGCAGCTTTGCAATTGAGATTTTACTTTTAGCTCTAACAGGTATAATTAGAAGTTGTTTGAGGCTGTRGAGGGCAATTGCTGTGCAGATTTTGGGTTTATTGGGCCACAAACACAGAGRGATATGACTGCCACACACATATCCTTTGGTTTGCTGCAAAGAGAGCTCTGTGATTCACTAAGCAGAGCTTTCTTGTGTTTGGCCTTCTGATGAGTTTGAGATTATTGKTTTTTTGCCTGTTTTTCTCTCTTTCTTCTGGGTGTTCATTAACTTCTTTTGTCATTCATGCAAAGTGCACTCACTTAATCTGTCAATTCTTTTTGCCCTGTTGATTTAGACAAATATATATATGTTACGTGCATTTTGACTTACTGAGCATAGTTAAAGAAACAGTCATACCCAATTAAGCTGCCCATTTGAGGTCAATGGAAAAGTTGGGAGAAACATGCTGGCACAGTCAGGAAATACTTAAAACTTGATATTTTCCCCTTGAAAAACACATTTTTTTAATGTTTCTGTGATGTTTTCAGGGTCTGAAGGTTCTGTTCCTGCAGGCAGTATTTCACAGCTCATGCCATGCTTTGCTCAGCTGGCAGGAACATTGGCAGCACTTTGCTGTGTGCCTCCCAATGCAGAGAGGTGCCTGTGTTGGTGATGGGATCAAGGGGATAAAATCCTTCCTGCTGCAGTGTGGAGCTTTGCTATGTGCACAGCAGCTTGTAGAGGGCAGCAATTGCCCACAGTTCTGGCTGCTGGGGAGAGGAGGCACCGGCTCAGGAACTTCACTGGAGTGACTGACTGCCTTTTTAGCTTCTTGAAATAACTTTGGGGAGGAACTTGTTCTTTGGAGTGCCTCTTGACTGCACAGTATTAAATTCCTACTCTGAAAAATGTTGTTAGAGATTGTTAATTCCTGTCCTGCCTCTAACACCACTGGAAAGTGGGGCTCCTTTTGCCCAGGCACTGTCTGTGCCATTGTTCCTGTAGGCAGAAGGAGTTTAGTGACAGCCTGTGATCTCTGTAAGGTTACAGCTGCCTGTGTAGGATAACTTCACTCCTTTCTTGCCTTTCTCCTTCCTCCTTGGCCTTCCTCACCTACTTTCACCTGGGAAAT